AGTTTTTTGAGGTGGTTTCGGCACATTTTGTTATTATTTTTGTCATTTTGTGGTCGTTTTGTGGTTTTGTGGTCATTTTGCATCATTTAATTACTTTAATCTTTTATGACATCCTTTGGGTCATTTCATGTCTTTTTGTGGCCACTTTTTAGCTGATTCTGTGTTTTTTTAAGGTTGTTTTTTTGCATTTTTTACAGCGATACAGCATCTTTTCCTGGAGTTTGTCTCATTTCGGGTTGATTTTTAATCTCTCTGTGGTCATTTTTTGATCTTGCATCTCACAAAAATTCTCATATTTTATTTCTGGATCCCAAACAGATAACTAATAATTAAACCTGAGATGTGGAGCAGCATGTTCACTGGATTCTGTCCTGAAGAGAGACGCTAAGAGACGATTAGCTGCATTCAGGAGCTCCGGACTGAAGCCTCTGGACTGTACAGACAGCTGCTCGATCGGGTCGATCCGCCGCGACAGAACCCTCCTCCTGAGCGAATCCTGATCGCCCGCTGATACGAGTAATCCCTTCGTCAATACCTCAGCGTGTCCCTGCTTTCACTTCCCTCCCTCTGTTCATCAATCAATCAGCCAATCAATCAATCAATCAATCGTCCCATCTGCACGTCCGCCCGCCTCCTCCGGCCTCCACACCAGAGTCCATTCACTTTTTGTTGACTTCTGGACGGCACGCAGGAGGGCAGATGGACGGAGGAGGACCGGGTTCTGGAGGTCTGTATGAGGACCAAGTGGACCTCGGGGACGGGTTTACGGCAGACGGAGGAACGCTATTGATGAAGTGATTATTGGCATTGGCAGGCGATCAGAACTCGCTCAGACCCGCGAGCAGATCGACGTCGGCTGAGATGACGTCTCACTTTGATCACTAAGGATTAGCTTCATGCTAATGTTGTGCATCAGAACGCTTTTAGGACGCAACAGCAACGTTGGTCTCCTGGTATTGATTATTAGTTATTGACTATTAGTCCTTGTGGTCATTTCAGGTCACTCTGATGGAGTTCATGAGGTGATTGTGCAGCTTTCTGATCTAACTTTTGTCTCTTTTGGACGTTTTTTATGATTTTGTTGGTGATTTTACATCTTTTTGTGCTAATTTATGACGTTTCTATGTTGATTTTTGATCTTTTTCTGATCATTTGGCATCTTTTCGGTGATATGTGTTGCTGTTTTGTGGTTGTTTTGGTGTTTTGTGGTGATTTTGCATCTTTACATGGTGGGTCTACAGTCATTTTGTGGTCTTGTATTGATGCTTGATGTTTTTCTGATCATTTTGGTTGTTTTGTGGTTGTTTATGATGTTTTTGTGTTGATTTTTGATCTTTTTGTGAAAACGTTTGATGTTTTCTGATCACTGATTGATATTTATTGTTGGTTTTTGGTTGTTTTTGTGGTGATTTTTGCATCATATTGACGGGACTTTGCATCTTTTTGCAATAATTTTGCTTTTTTTTGGACAACTGTTTTCGTTTCAAGATCATTTTTGTCCTTCAGTCGTTGTTTTTGTGTTTTTGGGGATGATTTTGTATTTTTCTGGTGGTTCTGCCTCAGCTTGTGTTGATTTTTGATCTTTTTGTGAAAACATTTGATGTTTTCTGATCATTTTGGTGATATTTATTGTTGTTTTGTGGTTATTTTTGTGGTGATATTTGCATCTGCTTGGACCAATTTTTAATGTTTCTGTAGCGATTTTACATCTTTTTGTGATAATTTTGCATCTATTTTTGATCATTTTTCTCATTTTGTGGTTGTTTTTGTGTTGATTTGCATGTTTCTGTTAGAATCTTTGGTAATTTTTGGCTGTTTCTTCTGACTTTGTAGTGATTTTACATGTTCTAGTGTTTGTTTATTGTGTTTTTGTGTTGATCTTTCTGAGGCGATTTATGACGGAGGGAACAAAGGGAGGAGGGGAGGCGGTAATAAAGTTAGAGAGGGAGGGACGGAGGTCTGCAGCCAGACGAGGACAAAGTGGACCTCGGGGACGGTTTTATGACGGACGGAGGAAGGTGGAGACGGACTGGACCTCAGGGACGCCCAGCTATTGATGAAGTGATTATTAGTAGCGACAGGCGATCAGAATTCGTTCAGACGTGCGAACAGATCGATGCGAGGATCTGAAATCAATCGTCATCTGAGCTGATGGTTCATCTAAACATCACCGTTCATCACTTTGTTCAAATGTTGGATCTTTGTTCTGTTTAGACGCCTTCATGTTTCTTATTTGAGTTTCCATTCATGTCTGTCTCAGGTTTTGTTTGATCAGATTTAATTTTGTTATTTGGGACCTAAAGCTAAAATAGTTTGGCTGAATCTGGAGACTTTTACATGCTCCACTCCACTTTAATGGCTCAATACCTCCAGAAATAAAACTCCTGCAGCCATGAAATGTGGTGAAAACACAGACTGAACAGTTCCCAGCAGATTATAACGACTAAATGGATCCAGCAGAGGAGATATTTTGATTACTGAGCCTTAAAAATAGAAAAAAAAGGGCTAAATGTTCAAATATTGGTGGCATAGTGTCCCCAGAAAGTTCCTGTAAGTGTCTGTCTATGGATGGATCCATGGTTCTACTAGAACCCAGTCTCTGGTCACATCTCACCAACTGCTGAGGCTCTAACATCAGTAGAACCTGATGTGGTGAAGCTGGACCAGACAAGGTTCTGGTTTTAGACGTTTTTACATGTCAGAATGCCAACATGAGTCCATTTGGACCATTTTTTGGGTGATTTTGGACAAGTTCTGAGTCATTTTAAACAAATTTTGATTCATTTTGGACAATTTCTGAGTTGTTTTGGACAAATTTTGAGTAATTTGAGATTTTTTTTGCATTGTGGGACCAGTTTTGAGTCACCAGGTTGGTGTTGTGTCTCCAGAAAGTTCCTGTCAGTGTCTGTCTATGGATGGATCCATGGTTCTACTAGAACCCAGTCTCTGGTCATTTTTCACCAACTGTTGAGGTTCTAGCATCAGCAGAACCTGATGTGCTGAAGTTGGACCAGACAAGGTTCTGGTTTTAGATGTTTTGACTTGAAATTTCTCCAAAATGAGTAAAAATGGTGCAAAATGGGTCAAAGGTTAAGACAAAGAACATCCTAAATGATTTAAAATTGAACAAAATGACAAGAAAGGATGATTATTGGCCTTTGAAAATGGAAAAATCTGCATTTTTATAAAGAGTTGTAGTTCTTTCACAACAAGGTTTACAGACTTAAATCAGTTAAAAATTTAAAAAAAAAAATTTAAACATAATTGTCAGTATAATAGCATCGTAACATTTTTGTTTAACACTACAGTATTATATGTATTTTTCTTGCTCCCTCGCTGTCAGATTTTCACAGGTTTGTTTGTTTTTTAGGTGTATTTGTGCTAAATGTCCATCATGACAAGGGAAACCTGACCAAAGCTCTTTCTACATTTGAACACTCAGCGTTTTTCGGGGTATTTCTGCTGCGTTCTGGGACTTTCTGGAGACTTTCCAGGCCCAGCGTTTCCCAGATAAATAAGCGCAGGGTGTGTTTCTGGTGCTTTGTGCTGTCAGACGGGCGGTTTGGGGGATGAATGATGGGACGTGGGCATATGGGTGGTTGGTAGGAACACAGCGGCAGCAGTTGGCAGTGCCACCGAGGCTCTGCGGCGATCCATCATTCAAACACAGCGCTGCCAACCAGTCAATAAAAACACACAAACCGGGCTCATCTGGACCAAACGCACACAAATAGGACGCGTTTGCACTGAAACACAGTCAATCTGTTTGTGGTTTTCAGTCTTTAGCAGGTAAAAGAATCCAAACTGTGGAGCTTTAACCACCGATTATTGCTTCATCTCTTAATTATTTTACAAATTTACCACGAATGCACAACAATTTAAGAAAACTCTGATTAAACATTAAAAACATCTCCTTCAGTCTCACTAATACGCCACAATTAACAGTTTATAATGATAGAAAGCACAGAAAAGAAGCTTAAACCAGAGAATATGTACATTTTTAACACTTTAGGCGCAAATAAAACACGTTTGCACTGAAATAAAGTCGGTCTGTTTGTGGTTTTCAGTCTTTAGCAGGTAAAAGAATCCAAAGAAAGTCCAACTGTGGAGATTTAACGCTGATCATCTCTCAGTTATTCCTCCAATTAACCACATAAAGTACAAAATATAAGAAAACGCTCACAGTAAAGGTTAAAAACGTCCTGTTCAGTGTGACTCTTGTGCCACAATTTACAGTCTACAATGACGGAAAACACAGAAAAACAACAAATCCTCATAAAACTAATCCGTCAATGATTTTCTCAACTAATCAATCAGTCGTTTAGTCTTTAAAATGTCAGAAAACGGTGAAAAATGTAAATAAAATGGTGAAAAATGGGATAAAATTAGAGTAAAATCACACTGAAGACACTGAAATCTTTTCTTTCCCTTTAAAAACGACTTTTTAAGGATTAATTACTTCAAATTGACGAGTTATTTGATCTATAAAGTTTTAGAATTAGTGTAAAAATGCAGTTAAAAAAATTGTGAATAAACTCGAAAAAAAAAGTCAAATAATAGAAGCTAAAATCAAAGAATTTAGACTTTTTTTTCTTTAAAAAAGTACTTTCAGCAGCTAGCTGGTAATTAATTCGATAATCGAATCAGTTAATTGCTGCACCTTTATTTATCAGAAACAAACTGATTAATTATTTCTTATGAGGAGCTGTAATGAACAAAGTCGATGTTTTTCACTTCATGGAAGACACGTAAACAACTGGAAATGCTGCTTCTGTTGTTCATCAGTTTAACGCCAGCTCATGTAAAACTGGATGTTTTTACTCTTTGTTTGAGCAGAAAAGCTTCACTGGGTCTGAAAATCTCCCTTTTCAAAGAACCTCCAGGCAGCTAGAACACAACCAGAAGACGTGACGGAAACCCAACTCAGACTCACACCAAGAACCACCAACGATCACAGAAGATCTGTTTGAAACCTGAAAATAAAGAGTGTTCAGACTCACCTCTGTCGAACTCGTCTGGAATCTGCAGAAAGAGCAGAAATAATTATTACCATCTGCACCAACAGCTGGCCGATAATCAATCACTTCCATTGATCTGCCAGCGCGTTGACGGTCAACGCAGCTAATCAATAGTTTCCTCTGTTGGTGGTTAAACAGACGACGGCGAAGCTGCAGACGAATGACGACTGTAGAAATCTCTTGGTTCTGGTTCTGCAGAACCTTTATCTACTGACCAGAGTTCTACCTTCAGACTGTGAATGTTCCAGAGGTCCAGGTCCTTGAAGTCCACAGAGGAGGGTCCAGATTGATCACTTTAATGGACTTTTTCCATCATTTCTGAGCCTCAGAACTTCATCAGTACAGCAGATAGACACATGACATTAAGGAGGAAGAACACATCTGGGTTCTGCTAGAACCTGACACCAGATCAGTTCTACATCCATCCAGGTGTCTCAGTCTAAACACTAAATCTGGTTTCTGTTCCATAATGAGACCAAATGACACAAACGAGACTCGAAACGACAGAAAAGAGACAAAACTTTCAGAAAGAGATGAGACACAAAATGATAAAAGACACAAAACAACAAAAACAAGACAAAAGACATGCGCAAGACAAAAAAAACACACAAACCCACAAAAATATGAGACACAAAACGACAAAAAAGACAAGAAATGACACAAACAACAAGAAACAAGACACAGAAAAGACGCAAATTTAGACAAACAAGACACAAAACAACAAAAAAATGAGGCAAATGACACACGCGAGACACAAAACCTCAAAAACGTGACAAAAATAAGACAAAAAACGACAAAAGCAAGAAAAAAATAACAAAAAATAAGAGACAAATGTCGACAAAAACACTGAATCACTCTAAAGCTGCTGACTGATTGATCGGCTGATCGATTGATCGCTGTGGACTTCACTCTGGTGCAGGTTGGTCAGGACTCTGTGGAGAACGACGCCACCTGCTGGTCATGAAGCTGAACTGCATCCACACAGTTTGGTCACTGCTATTTGAAAACAGTGATGCATATTGAGGCCTAATAATCACTTTGTTCTGATTTTTTTTCCCAGGTTTTGTTAAATGAAGGGAACCAGAACCGAGACCGGACGGGGAGTTTCTGTTTCCCGGGTCGACGGCTTCCCAGCGTTCAGCCGTTTAGCAGGAAGCATCGACGACAAAAGGGTCCTAACGAGGCAGAAGTGTGGCTTTGAAGCAGCTTCCAGATCGACGCCTTCGGACCAAAGAGTCCGTCTGAGGACGAACCGCGGTTTGCTCAATACGCAACCAGAAAACCCACAGATTAGAATTAAACTGCACAAAGACGAGACTTTACGGCGTTTCTAACTCTTAAACTGGCTGTGTTCATGCCACGGCTGACTGTCTGATATAAACAGATAATTTATTGATATTGTCTGATGAAGTCACATGAATCAGCTCTGCACAGACGCCTCTAAGGCTAAAATAAAATAAAACTTTAACAGTATATATTGATAATAAAATACCGTTACTGCAGATTTGTGATGTTCTGTTAAGTGACAAATAATAAATATCAAAATCACAGAAAAAAGTGTTTAAAAATGACCAGTTAACAGCGAAAAAACAGCTAAAACTGCATTTTATAAATAATAATTTAATCTTTTGCAGCATCTGACCACAAAAATTACAAACTTTTATCTGCAATTAAATCAGCAAATGTGCTTTTACTTTCAAGGCATTTGTTGTTATTTGAAAAAAAAAAAAAAAACTTAAATATGACCTGTTATTCTACAGATTTTCCCTGTTTTTGTGCGTATCAAGCCCAGAACAGAAGCTAAAGACCTGCTGAAGCTGGTTGTTACATCTGGAGGGAAGCCTGAGAACACCATCCAGCTGTGGAGCACGGGGGTGGCAGCATCATGCTGTGGAGGGACTGGTGACCTTCACACAATAGATGGCATCATGAGGAAAGAACATGATGTGGAGATACTGAAGCAACATCTCCAGACATCAGCAGGAAGTTACAGCTTGGACACTAATGGGTCTTCAGATGGACAATGACCCTCAGCATAGCTCCAGATTAGCTACAGAGAGGCTTCAGGACAACAGAGTGGCCATCACAAAGCCCTGATCTAGCAAGGAGACCAACAAACCTGACCCAGTTCCACCAGTTCTGTCAGGAGGAATGGGCCAGAACTCATCAGACTGTTGTGAGAAGCTTGTGGAAGGAAAACGTTTGATCCAAGTCCTACAGTTTAAAGGCAACGCTGCCGGATACTGAGGAGATGGATGGAAACTTGGTTCCAGCTGTAGGTGCGACTGGACCGATTACGGGACTCTTTGAAGTCCGAGCGGCAGCAGCTCTCGTCTACCCGTCGAGTGTGCCGCCCAATCACGCGGCAGCGGCCAAACGGTGAGATAAGTGTGCTGCTTCCTTTCCCACGTCGACGCCTCCCGACAAAGCCTCCGTTCGCGCCTCCGTCAGACGTCGCAGCGACCCGCCGAGTGTGTCCTTCGCAGCTCGCTTCCTACCGACTCACGGCGGCTCGGCGAAGTGTGCCCGCCAACAACGACGCGCCATCTGATCCCGAATGGACGCTAAATGAGCCGTTAGCGGCGCAACTCTGCAGCTCAGGTGAGTGAAATCACACCTGGAGGGCCGTGGATGTGGATGTGTGGACGTTAAACTCACCATGTTTCCCTGTTCGTCCACTGAGTTTGTACCTGAGAGAGACAGAAACACAAAGTTTATCAGTTTACCTGCTGATTAACTCACACACGGGAGGTTTTCTGCTTTCATTTAAGCATTAAAGTCAATTTTAGATCAATAATTTAAGAGTTTTAGGTGCAATATTCAAGGATTCAGGGTTGTTTTTTGTCATTGGGACGCAGGTAGAAGTCGTTAGAAATAAATAAAGAAACACAAAGAAAATTACAAGCACGATAAACAGAAATATTATTTAAATTTTAGGTGTAATATTTGGTCATCATATATAATATTACTGCATTTCTTTAGTTTAACTTTCAGTTTTACTTCCTGCTTTTCTACTCTCGTCTGATTTTAGCTCACTTATTTTTATTTTAAGTAATTGCATAAATCAAAATTGCATTAATTGTTGTGTTTTCTTTGCAATATCCAGCATAAAATTAAACTTTCTTCAAGATTCATTAAGGTTTATTTTTATTTTTTTGACTAAATTTGTCAAGACAACAAAAATCTAAACATTAAGGGGGAAAAATGTAAATTTAATCTGTATTTTATTCAATCAAAGCTCTTATTTGACTAATAATTTCCACCATCTTTGACTAAAATATTGATCTTTAAATACAAAAATATTCAAATACGAGCAGAAATGTGCAGCGACGCTGAATAATGAGGCCGTAAATGTTTTTTTATTAAAATATAAGACGTGCAAACACAAGAAATCCCTCCAGGCGAGCTATATTTGGGTTTCACTGATATTTCTACGGTTTTAAATCACAACCTCGTGGCTTCTGCAACACGATCGCCTGCAAATATTATCTGGCCACACATCAAAGCAAACAGAAATATGCAAAGTTTGAATCCCAGAGCAGCTTATAACATCCAGAATGTCTGAATATCTCCAAACATGTGAGTAAATCCAGAAAAAAAATCCAAAATATTCCATAAAGACAGACAAACAGAGATAAATCTTGAGCTTCTTGAGCTTCTTGAGCCTCCAAAGCAGCTTCTGGAATTATAAAGATAACTGATGTACATCCACATCGATTCCTCTGAAGACTGAGAGCAGCGTCACCGTCTGCAGGAATCACACCGAGAAAAAGAAAACTGAAAACTCCAAATACAATCCAGTGATGAAGGAATGCTTCAGTCGTCTCACAGGAAGCTAAAAGCTCGACCTAAACGTGCTCCTGAGTCCAGATTCTTCATCCTCCAGCTGAATCTACCTCCTGCCTCTCACACGTTTCTACTTTCCAGCCATGAGTCCTTCGTTAACGTCCTCCTATCCGGCCTCCAGCTCGTCTGACTGACAGCTGAAGCTCCGCCCCTCTGTGGGCAGCAGGAAGTGACGACCTGAGAGGTGACGTTTAAAGGCTCCCATCAGCCCAAAAACAACCTGGAATAAGTCACGTGGTCGTCACAGTAAACTGGTAGACGGTGAAATGGTGGTGAAAGAGTTCAGACTGGACAAACACAACGAGACTCGTCTGCCTTCAGGATTAGTTTAGAAAGATCGTCACAATACTGATGACTGGGCAGGAAAACGTAGACGCTTTCATCTAACCAGCATCAATACCCACCATGTTTCTTCCATTAGTATCACTTTGCACCACATTTTGGACCGTATGTCTTCTACCAACAACATTTTTGCACCATATTCCTTAAACCAGCACCACTTTGCACCAAATTGCTTCTAACAGCACCATATTTTATACACCATTTCTCAACCAGCACCATTTTTGCGCCATATTTCTTCCACTAGCACCATTCTTGCACCACATTTTGCACCATATTTCTTCTACCACCACCATATTTTGCACATTATATCTTCTACCAACACCATTTCACACCATATTTCTTATACCACCAACACATTTCTTCTATTAGTACCAATTTTGCACCACATTTCTTCAACCAGCACCACTTTGCACCAAATTGCTTCTACCAGTACCACATTTTCCACCATATTTCTTCCATGACTACCATTTTTGCACCACATATAGCACCTTATTTCTTCTACCAACACCATTTTTTCACCATATTTTTTAAACCAGCACCACTTTGCTTCTACCAGGGCCATATTTTGCACCATATTTCTTCTTCCAGCATGATTCGCATGTTATTTCCCTTTATTTCCTTAAATATAACACGTGTATGCTCTCTGATATCTTAAACTTCCCCAATGGGATGAAGACAGTCAGTGCTGTTTAATCTTGTTTTTACTTTTCATTCTTGAAACCCGACTTTGTGTCTGAACTTGTTCCTCTCATAACGCCCCACATCGTAAATGGAGGCCGTAGCTGAATGTGACCCTGTAGAGGTTTGATTCTCGGGTTTTAAGTGGTTTTCTTTAACTTCTGGGTTATTTTTTTTAGTGCTAATCCCTCTGAATGTCTGATTAGCAGGCAGAACCTACAGTCCCGTTCAGAGGGACACAAGGAAAGAAAAACTCACAAAACTCAGCTATATATCTGGTTTTACGTACCAGAGGTAGTGACAGAGGGTTTATCTTTATGTGGAACTTGTTGTTCTCTGAACAAACTCGATTAAGTTGTTCTGAGTGAGTCCAATTCAACAGAACAACGAGACTCATTCTCTGCAGACGGTGAAGAAACCCACCGAATATGTAGACGATGCCGACCGCCCCGCCGACGCCCATCAGCCCGGCCAGCCTCAGAACCATCTTCTTGGCGTACGCTGTGTTCTCCTTCTGTTTCTTGTCCTCCGTGTGCTCGCCCTCCTTCTCGCCGTCGCCTCCTTCAGGGGGAGGCTGGCCCTGCAGGAAAACAACAACAGAGTTAAATCGAAGCCACAGATGAGCTGCAGGTCACGTTATCGCTGCTGCAAGTCCTGGAATTAATCATTAGTGTCATTAGAAATTAGACTGTCTGAAGGAAACCTGGCCAAGAAGGCACAGAAATAATATTCCTAAAGGCAGTACAGAGATAGAACATATGTGCAACGTAAAAAAAAAAAAAAAAGTTTTTGGGGGTTATTTTGTTAAATTACATTTAAAAACTATAACAAAAAATATAAAAAATTTAAATAACATTAAATTTAAATAATATCTACATTAAAGATCACCATTTTCATAAATAGTAATTTGTTTTTTAATGTGTTTAAATCAGCAAAAAATCTGATTATTTTACAGATATTTGTGATTATTTCAGAGAAAAACTGTGAAAGACTGAAAAATGGTAAATAAAAGTTTTCTGTTTGGTTAAATTACAGAAATCATGAAGAAAATCACCCATATTTTTACTGGATTTAAATCTGCAAAACATCATTATATTACAGATATTTGCTGTTTTTTATAAACAAAAAATAGATATACGAGTTAATTTTTTAATTTGCTAAATGACAGATAATATTTAGGAGATTTTTTTTTTCTTTTTTAAAGAATTAATTAATATGTTAACTGTAAAAAACAAACAACAAAAAACATTGTTTTACAATATTTGTCCAAAAAAAGTAACTATTGTAAATAAAGTCAATGTTGTTTGGTTTTTGTTTTTATACAAACAGTAATTTATTCTTTTACAACGTTTGACTGTAAAACAATTGTTTTATTTTACTCAAATCAATTAAAAATATCACTATTTTACAGATATTTGTCATTATTTTCACCATTTTAAAGTTTTATCAGATTTTCTCTGACACCGTTGTTCTCATATGTTCAGTAAAGTCCAAACAGCTGTGAACTGAACAAATGGACCCAAAGCAAAACTTTAAACTGAACGACAGCTGACAAAATGCAAAACCTGCAAATATCTAAAACCAAACATGTAGACAGGTTCATGAAATGAACTGACAGCTGCATGAACAAACCAAACGAGGCCTCAACAAAACGAATCCCCAACTTTTTACATATAAAACCAAACACACTGATGTTTGTTATGCAGATCAATCTACACGTCGTGCAGGTTTCTCCTCCAGCAGCTCGTTAGTTACACCTGAAGCTGCTGCAGAGCTCTTTAAACCTGTATTCTTAGTAATCTTATTATTGTTTAGGTGAGGAACAGCTGCTAAATTCATTTCACTGTGTGTGATTGTGTTTGTGACCAATGAAGGAGGTGAATCTTGAACCTTAAATTTAAAAAAACTGTAATAAAGTCCACATAAACACACTGAAGTCGTATTTATATGAATATTAACTGAAACCAAACAACACGGTCGAAGGAAATACTTTCTTGGCTCGGATCAGAAATGCTGCGCAACAGGGTTATTTCTAGAAGCAGTACTTTTCATTTCTGTGTTTATGTCCCTTAATGTTTGCACAATCCAGCTGGCTGTTGCAACCACTGTGGGGTTTAATAAAGGCTTATCTTTTCTTATGTTATCGCGCAGAACATTTCCAAGCAGAGCTCCAGGACTCGCTCACACTTGGTGTCATTTATTTTTTATTATCATTGTAATAAATCAGAGGAACGTAAACACCAGACAGGGAGGTAAAGCAGGAGAAACAGGAAATTACATGAATATAGTGAGTGTTTCAGCCACATGTGGTGCTTGGAGGTCAGGTATGGGGATGATTGAGCTGAACATGGAGCAGGAGGAGCAGGAGGAGGAGGAGGAGGAGGACAGTGAGGGAGGACACTGGGGGTCTGCTCTGACCTTCACACCAAACAAACCTTGGCAGTTGATCCGACAGCTCGTGCAGATAAAACTGAGGCTGTTAGCTCAGAGTGTGTGTCTGCAGTAAAAAGGGGGCTGGACACACAAGCAGCCAGCAAACCAAACCTGCTAGCTTCGTGCTAGCTGCCAGAGCTAGAAAACACACCACATTAATGCGCTGTAGAGATGCTAACCGGAGCTCAGCTATTTAAACCGACGAGCCTCCCGGAGCGGCTAAAGGATGCTAGCATTAGCCAGCTAGCCTGTTAGCTAGCCTGTTAGCTAGCCACCTTAATCTCAGGTTCATTCATTCAGCACACTGCGGGGCTGACGCGGGGCCCGAGGGGCGGCAATGTAATGCCTCCGAAGCGGACACTTGTCGAGATAAATGACACAAAATAAGTGTTTAATTCCGTGCTTTTATCTCGGGTTTTCAGGTGAATATTTATGTGTAACGTTCAGCTAGCTGTCAGAGAGAAGTGGCTTCGATTTGGATCCCGGGGCAGCTCGAGTGGGCGGGGTTGGAGTTTGAACCATGGTGCCGCAGTGTATCCGCTCACCCCGCTCGCTGCTCGGTAGTGAAATCAAACGCCTCCAACGGGCTAGCCTCACCTGACTCTGCTGCTGCTGCTGGAGTCTCTCCTGGAGGATAGCCTGAGCCAGCCCGCCCGTCGCACTGCCCGACGCGGCCGGCGGCTTGTCCGTGGACAGCGTCCGGATGATGTCCGCCACGGCCGGGGTGGAGGCACCCGCCGCCCCGCTGCGGAGCCGCAAGAGGCCCCGGCTCGCCCGCACACACATGGGGAACACGGAGGTAGCCGACATCTTGGATAGTAGCGCTAGCTGCCGGTGTGTGACGCGAGTCAAAAGGACAAAGGCGTCCGATTGGTTGGGTCCTGGTTGAGTGACAGGCAGGAGGCGCAGTCAGCGCAGCGAGAGACCACATGGAGCAAGAGGAGGGCGGGGCTCGGAGTGTTCTGTCCAATCAGCGGCGAGAGTGAGTCTGACCTTCGATTGGGACAAAAACTGCCATGATGGTTGATGGCAAAATGCCCAAAGTGTGTTCAATTATATCACCTGTCAGAAACGAACCGAGTTCATATCCAGAAAATATGAGCAAGAACACAAACTTTCTGGACTAATAATATAATATAATATAATATAACATAACATAATATAATATAACATAATATAATATAATATAATATAATATAATATAATATAATATAATATAATATAATAGTAAGTTATGGAAAGTTAAGAAAAAGGAGACTGAATTGAATTATTCTTTCCCTCTCCATCATACATCATTTGTGTCCTGTCTAAAAGAAAAAAAAGCCATTGGCAGACAAAATTAAGAAAAAAAATCTGGAAAAAAAAAAAAAAACTAAATTATTGTCACATCCTATGGTAGTCTGAAGTTTTTTATTAGCGTGAAAAAAAAAGCTGCTCTTTTGTAAAAAATAGAGTTTATGCACGAGATGTCATTACAGCAAAGAAAAGAGTAAACACAACTTTACAAGTTTTTCAGAATAACTGCTTAATCTGTAGGGTTTCAACTTTTCCTGAAGGAGGAGATTTTCTACTTAGTTTCAAATTCATTTTAAATATTCAAGAGTTTTTATTTGTCACATGCTCATACAGTACATGCAGCAAAATGCAAGGCGAGCCTGCACAATAAGACATTATGAAAAAGGACAAATCAATAAAAAAAAAAAGTTAGAGAAAGTCACAGCATCATAAAAGCAGACCAAGGGAGTTTTTGTGAGACAAAAATAAAGTATTAACTGGAACACTGAATAGACCAAATATGTAAATAAGGAAATGAAGAGAGAAATCAATGCATTAAATCCATCCAATCATTCATATCATATAGAAGCCTGACTAAAAAGTTAGATCTTGAGTTTGCCTTTAAAAACAGGAACACTCTCGGGTCTTCTGGAAGGATGTTCAACAGACCACAGTAACAAAATGTAGGTTCTTATTCTCACTTCATTTGAAAATCCACTAAGAGAAAACCTGAGGGTTCTATAAACCAATCAAAAGGATCTTAAAATCAGCTTTACGACTAAAGGCAACGACCACAAAACTATTATAGCAAGTCTCCACAGCACACGGCCAAATCTTGACAACCCAGATCACTGCTGTCCTCTAGTGACAGGAGTGATCCGTAGAGTGAAAACGCTGGGTCTGAAGATCGGGTAGATCTTGGTCTTTGCTGGGTTGCAGGTGTAACACGACCGTCTGAACATACCCCACTGTGCTTCTTCATTTTTCACAGCTGCTCTGACTGCGAAGACGCACTCCGTGAAGGAGTAAATCAGAACCCGAGTGTCGACGTCGTAGAAAGAAACCAGCCCTTCTGTGTAATCCACAAAGACGCCGATCTTGTCGAGCTCTTTGGACGAGGGCAGGGCGACGGGAGGGTTGGCGTTCGCCTGAAGCTGACCCCAGTACGAACCCAACGTCCAGCATCCGTTTTCGGGGCTGAGGGACAAGTCGGTGCCTTTCTTGGCGATGGACTCTCTCACCACTCCGACTTCCCAGCCGGTCTCATTGTAGAGTCTGACTTCGTAGTAGAACCTTCCAGAAGAGAAACCCTTGTTTCCCAGGACGTAGTGGAGACAGTCGAACCTGGAGATGTTGTCGGGGACCTTCGTCTTCTCGGTTACGTCCCTGACTAGCATCCTGTCCAGGGACACGATGAGACATGGGTGTGCCGTGGTGGCGTCCAGAGTCACTGTTGTTGCATATTGCTGCTGGATTCTCCCGAGTTTGTCGTCGAACACAGTTTGGGAATCTATTGGTTCGTCTTCTTCGAGGTCTCTCATGACGTTCTCCATCTGCTGGTTGAACGTCTCCTCGGTCTTGGCCACCGCCTTCCTCACGGCCTCCACATGCAGGAAGGTTTGGACTGTGGTGTCGAAGCTCGTTGAGTCCAAGGAAACAGACGGGAGTTCCTGCAGCAGCTGGAAGTCGTCCTCGATGTTGGAGAGCTCTTCCAGTCTGGCGCTGATCCGGCGTTTCTCATCGATCTCCAGCTGCAGCTGTTGGATCACATCTTCGGCCTTCTGCTCTGCTGCCTCCTGCTTCTCCTCCAGCAGCTCCATCAGCTCCACCGCTTTGGCCTCGATCGAGGAAACCAGAGCGGCGAAGCACCTGTGGGTTAGAAATTCACAAAATGTCATTTTAAATCAGGACCTCATCAAAAATAAAAGTGACTTCTTGACTTCCTGACCAGTCGTCTCTCAGCAGCAGCTGCTAGTTTGTGTTTCCTTCCTGATGGTGGCAGTAACACAACTGGACCATGAGCTTTATGCTGACACACTGATGGTTCTGGATCTGAAGCTGCTCTGAAATGGCTCCAAGTCACTTTCTGACTGGTTCAGACCTTTGCTGAGATCCTCAGACTTTCCCACTGTAGTGTCTGAGTCTGATGAGTGGATCAGATGGTTCTGTTGGGACTGGATCAGAGGAGTCAGCAGCTGGAGTCAATCAGAACCACTCAGGAGGAGTTAGGAGGCCATGAAGCTGAGAACATTTGATTAACACAACTTTCTGCATCATCAAAACTGATAATACTTTTCAGAAAACCTTTAATAAATCTATGAAAGAACCAAAACTCTTGATAGTTTTTTTGTGTGTTTCAAACATTCCATCTCAGAAAAATAAGACTTATAGGAGTCATCAGAAGCTGAAGACCAACATGGTGTACGTGGTCTTTAAAGGTGGAAATAGACTCAGAGATGAGCCACAACATTAAAACCAGTTCCCACCTTCAGACTGTCACAGACGCTCCATCAGTTTAAGATTTGGGGATTTAAAGGCCGAATCAACACCTTGAACTCTTTGCAGCCACATTTTAAGTTATCATCTGCTCAGGCTTAGCTGTGGTTCAGGCTGGAGATTTCAAACTTTTCTGACTTTTGTTGTCCTAAAAAACACTTCATCCACCTCCACAAAGCACCTTTTGGTTTCTGCCGTCGTCTTCTCCACTCTGAGTCGACTCTTGAGCTTCGACTGCTGCACCATCTCCTCCACGGCGCTCTTCTCGCTCACATCGCGGTCGACTCTGGCTTTCCTTCGCTTCGCCTCGGCCCTCCTCTCCTTACTCTCCTCCTCCAGAGCGATGGTTTCGTGCGTGGCGTGTTCGTCCGTCATGCACACGGCACAAATGCAGACCTGCTCGGTCCTGCAGAACAAGTCCTTCAGCTTGTTGTGTTTGCTGCAGGCCCGAACCTTCAGCGACGCCACCGGCTCGACCAGCTTGTGCCACTCCAGCGCCGGAGCCGACAGATGAGGCTGCAGGTGTTCGCTGCAGTAGGAAACCAGACAAACCAGGCAGGACTTCAGAGCTTTACACTCGCAGAGGTCGCAGGAAACCTTCCAGGGCCGAGCAGCGGCGCCGGCAGCTGCAGCTCCCGCCTTTTTCAACGCCTCATCCTCATCCTCGTCCTCTTCCTCGTCCTCGTCCTCGTCCTCGTCCTCGTCCTCATCCTCGTCCTCGTCCTCATCCCTGAACTCCTGTTTGACTCTCAGCCGGGCGGTTCTGCTGATGGTCTTCTTGCACAGCGGACAGTGCTGGACGTCGCAGGAGTCCCAGAAGCTGGTGATGCAGCTCCTGCAGAAGCTGTGATCGCAGGGAAGCGAGACGGGTTCGGTGAAAACATCCAGGCAGATCAAACAGTGGAGCTCCTCTTCAGATCGGGAAGCCATATCTGGAGGAGAAAAAGCAGAGAGGAGCCTCAGGAACATGAACTAAACTGGTGCATGAAACAAAAGGTGGTTAAAGCACATCGTCCATCCTTTATTTTACATCGGTTTACTACTTAAAGAATCTTCACATGTGTAAAAACAATGACTATACAGTAGAGACCAGAAGTTTCCTTCTTCCTCCAGATGTACCGATGGTCATTAAGGCCAAACAGTTCAGGTTTAGTTCCATCAGACCACAGGACATGTCTCCACTGATGAAGCTCTTTGTCCCTGTGTGCATCTACAAACTGTAATCTGTCTTTTCTATGTTTCTTCTGGAGTGATGTCTTCTTCCTCTCTGAGCAGCCTTCCAGCCCATGTCGGTACAGGACTGGTTCCACTGTGGATAATGACTCTCTGACCAGCTTCAGCAGCATCTTCACAAGGTCTTCAGCTTCTGTTCTGGGGTTGATTCGCACATTTCAACCAGAACACTTCATCTCTGGACACAGAACCGTCTCCTTCCTGAGCCTATGATGGCTGGACATTCCCATGGTGGTTATACTGATAGAACTGTCTGAACAGATGAACGTGGAACCTTCAGGATGAACCAGACTGGTGGAGGTCCACGGTTCTCCTCCTGATGTCTCGGCTGGTTTCTGTAGATGTTCCATGTTGTCCCAGAAGGCAGCAGTGTGTTTGAGGTCTGCCTCCAGTTAACCAATCAGAAGCTTCCAAAGCCATGACATCATCATCAGTAGTAAAAAATTCTCTCTCTCGTTATTCTAGCAAATAGAAATAATGGTGATCCTGACTGAGCTGAAACAGGAAGAGTTTCTTTATGCAGTGGATGTAAACTTCTGGTCTCTGCTGTACATCATGTTTGTTTCCACAGAGGAGAGTAGTGACGAAAAAATACGACAGGAGTAAAAAAACAACAACAACAACAACCCAGAAAGCTTTTGGAGTTTAGAGAGTTAATACAAAACTGAGCGTCAAACTATGTTGACTTCCAAGAACTGCTGAGTCATGCGTGTGAACACGGAGGAGGAAACAAGGACTGACTGTAAATGAAATGATTATTTTGACTGTTTCATGAGTTTTAATGCTTCGGTTCAGATGATCACACATTTTACACAAACAGCTTTGAACAACATTTACGTTTTCTGAGACTCTAACTGTTTACTTTCACTTTGTGTTCTAAACTCTGAAACACACCGATCTGCTGCATCCTGACAGTCTGACGAGGTAAAAGAGGAAAAACTTTACCTGCTGTTTTGTCCCAAACCGTGTCAGAGGAATCTTCGGGTTTACTTTCAGTTTCGTTGAAAACAGCCGGCTGAGGACACACCTCCCGTTTCTTATCTTGGATTTCTGTCTCTGTGAGGTCCGCCTGTTTCAGAGCATAAAAGGGAAAGTTTGGGAAAAATCAAGACAGATCCTGGAAAAAATCTGCAATTAAACAGATTTCTTCCCTGTGTTTTTAAATAATTCATCAATAAAATTACCACGGACTGGATTTACACGTCAAAGGTAAAATAACCTGAAACTCTAAAGAGAACCAGAAATGTCAACTTCGTTTTTAAAAAGAATTTTTATTTATTATTATTATTATTTGATGTATAAAGAGTGTGAAAATATTTTTGCCAGTTTATTGTAATTTCACAAATATTTCCTTATTTATAAGATTAAACTGTTAATTTCATACAATATGTTTATAGCAAAAATGTTAAATGAATGTTCAGTGTTTAACATCTAGAAGTAAATAATCTTATATGATGAATTATTTTTTCATTTTTATTTTTTCAAAGTAAATATTTTATCCTAAAAGGAAATAACTTTCATAAACGTACCGTATTTTCCATCATTAAAATAAATGTTTTAATCATGAACTTTGGTTCTTTCATAGATTTATTAAAGTTCTTCTGGAGATACGACCAAACCTGCTGGATCATAA